AGGGAATCTAAGGGTGAAGAGAAGGGATGGGAGTGAGGAGAGACAACATAGAATTAAAGAGGGAAAACAGACCCAACAGCGATCTTGTCTGACCTTCTACTGAGCTGTACAGGGCTTCGAAAGAAGGGACCACTGGCATTATTTCTTATTTTTTGTGCCAAACGTGGATTTCCTAGACCCTCCAATGGAATCTCCATTGGAAAGATCTCCTCCAAATAATTGACATAAGGATGTTTAATGTGGTCTTCCTTTTTATAAGGTTCCAGGGTATTCTATCTAATGCAGACCCTGCCAAGACACTCACGGTGATCTTGAACCAGCTCCCTGGGGTTCCATCTTGTGTGTTCTCCCCCATTTCTCTCCTCAGAGCTTTTCTATCTCTCCACACAGTAATATGGATATGGCCCTCATTTTGCCTTTTCACTCTCCTCTTGTAGCTCCAGGTGCTATAGGGAGTGCTGTGGGGGGGAAGTGGAGAGGAGGAGGGTCGCCATAAATGTTAAGAAAGTCTTCTTCTATACACCCTCACCTCTCTGTCACCAGGACAACAATTAGGATTGCTTGACCATTATTCCATTTCCGGCATTCTTCAGTTTTCCAGTGAGAGAACAAAAAGAAGACCAGGGAGAGTGAAAGAGTCACCTAGTCCCAGGGGCTGCTGCACGCAAACCAGTCTGCCTGGTCACTTACTGTCTTACTTGGGGGTCCTCCTGGACATCTCCCATCAGCACATTTCCATCATCCTCCTGGAAGTGTGAAGGCTGAGGCTCATATTCACCACGGTCATAATGACGGTTCCTCTTGCCAAAATTACCTCGGACAGAACGCCAAAATTTCTTTCTTCCTTGAGGTGAGCTACCACCATCATTGTATTCTCAAAAAGGGGAACAAAAATACAAGTTTAAAGACACATCAGTGGTCCACTTACCGTGTACCACATCTTAGGCTAACACCACAGTAGGGCAAGCAAAGTGTCAACCTGCCCTAAGGATCCAATCTCCCAAACCCTGGAAAGGAAACTCCTCTGCTTGTCCAGATAGGAGAGCCTTATTTGACAGATGGCACTATCAGGGTAGGAATCTTGGGGGAGGAGGAGGAGGAGGAGAAAACTGTATTGAACCTTTTAAAGAATGAAGCAGATTTATTAAAACAAAACAAAACAAAACAGAGATGTGTGCATCCATGGATTAGACTGGAAACCAGCCATACACAGGGAAGACATCTGAATTGTACCTTCTCTCAGGCCTGTCTAAAAACCACACCAATACTAGGGAGGCAATCTCTCTCATGCTTCCCAAATACAATCAGCCACCAAACTGATCCCACTAACAATCAGCAAGCTGTACTTCCTTTGCTGGTGTAGTTCAAGCTTTAATGTCAGGTGGGACTGATGTAACAGCCTCCTAAGCTGTCCCCCTCCCTCCAGCCTTGCTGTCAACAATACTCAGTTTGAAATATGCAGAGTGAGCTTTCTTTTTGCCCAGCCCGAAATGCCTTTCAGCTGAGGGGACAACTCTTCCTAACCTCAGCTCCTCTATAACAAGGATCTGAATGACAAACCGGGATGATGTGTCAACTAGCATTTCCAAGTGTGTAGGGATTCTTCTTTTTTCGTTCTATTATTGATTTCTAACATGGGTCCATTATGGTCAGAGAACGTGCTCTGTGTGATTTAAAATTCGCTGAGGTTTGTTTGATGGTCCAGGAGATGATCTAGCTTGATGAATATTAAAAGAAAAACCCGAGTATTAAAAGGAGGAATAACGGCCCGTGGTCAATGTATGGTGTATGGGGGCTTCAGAGTCATCTTTGAGAACTGACATTACTTCAGAAATCACGTTGTCAAGGGGGAAGTGTTAAAAGTGAGCCAGCTAACAGCCACAGCATTCCCCAGACCGACCAGGTGAGTTGGGTGCCTAAACAGGGCCAGAGGCCTCCCTCATCAAGGTGATTCAGACAGGAGCGATCTCAAGCATAACCTTGTTTTGGGAATCTCACAGGAGGGTGGGCATGAGATTAAAAAGCCAGAGAGACCACGCACACACATGTGTGCGCACACACGCATATCCGCTTACTGAAGGGTTGCATCTCGGCACGATCCCTGTCTCACCGCCGTTCTGCCAAAATCAAAGGCAACAACAGGAGCATCGGAAATCAGCTGGTGCCTCTCACCCAGGCTGCCTGGGTTCCCCCTCAGTCTCTACCACAGTATTAACTGATCCTCCCGCTAAGAAACGGTCGTGAGTGTCCTTTATGACATCATGTGTGTTCACATGGTACTTCCTGTGTCGGTTTGGAATTCTGCCTACATCATTGCTATGTCGTTGAGTACATGGTAATGGCATCCCTGCTATGGTAGGGAAAGAACAGGGTGAGAAGTAAAACACCACTTGCCCAGCAGCAACCAACATTAGCTCAGTGTTGGGCAGACTCACTAGAGTTCTTTGACCTCCTCACTAAAGTCCGAAAACAGGCTCACAGGCGTTAGGTACACTTCCCAGGATTTCTCAGCCAAGTCAGTGGAGGAATAGAAATTGTGTCCTCACCTATTGGTCCGCCTCCACATCCTAAGTGTTCCTCTAGCTAGTGTGCTTATTCTCCTTTAATGGTGGACTTTCAGGTCTCAAGGACAGATTTCTGTGAGCAGACCAGGGATGATGTTTTGTGAGCTGGGGTTAGTGACTCCTGCTTGGGTGGATCCAGGTGCCTTGGACCAAGTAGAGATATCGGTCTTGAACTAGATGAAGAAATCTGTTTCGATCACAGTGTTTGCAGATTAGGAGTCGCTTTGAGCTGGCAGTGTCTGGCATATAATGGGGCCTAATTAGTATTCGTTAAATGAATGTAGGCAATGTAGATTTGGGATCAACAAAGCCACTTTTGAGAATCCATACATCGCAACCATTTGTACCCACATCTACTTATTCCAGAAAAAATTGGGCTGCAGAACTGTTTCATAACCTGCTTGTAAAACTAGCATGTGTTGAATTTGTCTTTTGCAAAATTAGTATTTTTCACTAGCGTACAGTTAGAAATGGAGCTAATTACACCCCTCTTGATTAATGCTAAAACTACGGCTTTTCTGATCTGAGGAAGGGAGGCTTTTGCAAACTGGTGGCAGAAATGAGGAGAGGCCTTCCTTAAATCCAGCAGATATAGCTTCCTGGGTGTCTGGTATGTGTAGGAAGAATGTTCTGGACCTACATGCTTGTTTGTGGGTGCTCAGCTTTGTGACAGCCAGTATCGTACTTGTGTCAGAGGAAAGCAAGAGTGTGTGCATGAGCATGTGTGTGTGCATGGGCATGTGCTAATATTATCTGTTTTACATTTGTATAATTAGATTACAGATACATGTATTTCAAATCATGTTGGAAAGTACATTGCCACACAAAACTGGACCCTAATGTACATTTTCATTTCATGCAATATATGCTATATACACCCAATTTTTGCTTCTTGTTTTTAATATGCCCTTTATTTTATTTTATTTTTTTTACATCTTGGCACTTTAATATTTGAATTGATTTTCAAATTTAAAGTATTAGAATTCTCTATACAAGGTATTCCTAACGGCAGAGGCCAAATTACCCAGTGGAGCATGGCTTGGGATTTAGGGCAGTTCCAAGATTTGAGTCTCTGCTCCACAGCTTCCCAGAAGAAGCACATAAATATTTTAAGAGACAATTTCCTAAGGATATTTACACCAGTGTACTTCTCCACTAACAGTGCAGGAGAGTCTACTTTCCTACAGTATGCTTAACCATTCAAAAGTCATTCCTATGCTTTGACCCAGACATTTCACTTTTAAAATTTATCATACAAAATATTTTCTGCCAAAATATATACCTATAATTATATGGCTGTGTATTACAGGCTCTTTTCCCCCCCTTTTTTGCCCCATTTTTATTGAGGTATAATTGATATATCGCACTGTGTATGTTTAAGGAATACAGTATAATGATTCTACTTACATAAATAATTACCACAATTACTTTAGTTAACATCCATCATCTCATATAGATGCAAAAAGTAAAGTAAATGAAAAAGACATAAAAGATTTTTCCTTGTGATTAGGACTCTTAGGATTTACTCTCTTAACACCTTTCAAATATACCATAAAGCAGTATTAACTATGGTCATCGTGTTGTACATCACATCCCTCACACTTATTTCTCTTATGACTGGAAGTTTGTACTTTTCTGAAAGTTTTCATTTTAATTCCAGTGTAGTTAACATACAGTGTTATATTAGTTTCAGGTGTGCAATATAGTAATTCAACAGTTCCATACATCACCCAGTGCTCATCATGACAAGTGCACTCCTTAATCCCCATTACTTATTTCACCCATCCCCCGCCTACACACTTCCCCTCTGGTAACCATCAGGTTGTTCTTCATAGTTAAGGGCCTGTTCCTTTCTCTCTCTCTCTTTCTCTCACTTTCTCTCTCTGTTTTGCTCTCTGTCTCTCCCTCTCATTGTTTCCTTTGCTTATTGCTTTTGTTTCCTAAATTCCACAAATAAGTGAAATCATATGGTATTTGTCTTTCTCTGACTGACTTATTTTGCTTAGCATTATACTCTCTAGCGCCATCCATGTCATTGCAAACGGCATGATTTCATTCTTCTTTACAGGCTCTTTGACACAGAAAGACAATGGGACCCGAGAGTGGCTGATATTGACAGAAGAGGGGTAGAAATGATTGTCCTTTGAGTCAAGGATAGATGGGAAAGAAGGGGGCATGGGTACCTGACATACAGAGTAAAAAGGCCAAGGGATGGACGTATGGGCCAGAAAGATGAGGGTGATCATTGGGAAGACAATGAAACACAAGTAGACAAAGCCTCTGAGGAACTGGATGCATCCTGGTGATACACACCCCACTGGAAACCTTCCTTTCTTTCCACGTATATCTTGTCTGTCTCTGTTACTTCATCTTCAAGTTGAACACCAGAGAAACAGTTCCCAAACAGTCTGAGAAAGGAGAGACGGTATGGGGAACAGTGTGCAACAATGGGTCTCTTGGACAGAGGGCTGGAGTTCGGGTCATGTTGGTCCCAGACACCACATCCATCATTGCCCACTGGACTTTGAGTCCTGTCCCAGTGCTCCTTTCAGCCCTAACACAGAGTCACACATCATTGGTTAAGGGCATCAGATTTGAGGTCAGAGCAACCAGGGTTTGAATCCTGGTGCTAAATTCTGTGGTCCAGGGCAAGTAACTTTGACTTCATGGTGACTCACCTTATTTTTTCCCTTAAATTGAGGATAGTGATAGTTCCTACCTCATGAGAAAATTGTGAGAATTGAGCTAGTATCTGGCAATACAGGCAAAGCCTCTGGAGAAACACCTGTGACCTAACAAGCACTACAAATAAGTTAGTCATTACTAGGTCAGGAACTTAGCACAATGGCTGGGGCTTAGTAAGAGATGAATGTGTGTTAATTGCATTTGTTGTTACAAGAAGGAAAACAGATGGGTGAATGAGGGCAGGTTGCAGCGTCAGCTATTCACATATTTTATAAAGTGGCGATGGTTAAACAGAGCAGCCCTGGTGGGAAATAACCCGATACACTGTTTAAGGGAACCAAAATTAAAAGATCACAGACTGAAACAGGCATAGGGGACGGATTAGGTGGGGGGCTTGAGTTCCCATTGCCAAAATTTGGGCAAAGAAACCCATTATTATTCAAGAAACGGTTCAGGCTTGAGTGGTAGGTTACAAAAAGGAAGGTAGAATATCCCTCGCACCCCATGATACACTCTGAAAAGAAAAAAAGTCATATGTTACCGTATGGTTCCTCAGAAGGAGATGTTAACAAATGTTTGTGTTTTTTTAGGTACAAATGTAAACATAAAGAAGTCAGGGTCAAAG